CCAACGTAATTACAGCCTCCATCGTTGCAACGCATCTTGCATACAACTGTAGCGATTTCAATCTGTTTTGGGTTGCATCATATTCGGTTACATCGTTCATTCGGGAGCTAAATGCATGTTTTAAAGCATCAATTGATCAATTGGGCACGACCGCTCATATAACTACTCGGAGAGGTAAGTGTCTGCATAAATCTCTACGTGCATACGTATTGCTTCAAAATTTGCAGTTCTCAAGTTCCTTTCGCCCCGGATCCCGCACCAACACCCGTGGGAGTTTTACAAATTAGACTTCCGTTTGTAGTCTTTGTGTTTAGTTGAAACGCTCGAAGATTAGAGCCCATGCCAGTCGGTCAGGGGTCTAAATTTAAATGTTGTCGGACTAATTTTGATCATGATAAACTGTCAACGGCCAGAATATACTTAGAGGGGGTGGGTATAGTCATGTGACATTCAACCGTTAAGGCATTGAAAGATACTGACTGAAGTTTAGATCTCAATTCCGTCGTTTCAGCTAGCTTGCGTTTGTTCAAGGAAGATTAGGGTGGACCTAAGCAGAAGAAGATATTCGACGAGAACAGATCCCTACCTAGCTACGCGTCGCGTTTGAAGCGAAGCATCTTGATTCGGGTGGATGAGGTACAATCAGAGCACGGAAGCAAACGAAATCTTTAACAGTGTATCGTGCCACTTATAACTACCTTTCTCTTGGAACAGCAAAAACAACTACAGCGAGACAATTTCATACTCAAATATGTATCCAACCTTCGTTGAGTTGAGGAATACATGGAACCTTCCTACTACGTATGACAGACGCCCGCACCGTGAGGAGAAACCTGCCACCTGAAATGTTACCTGACATTCCGAAATGTTTGTTTTCAGACTATTTACCTGGGATTGCAATATTGCTTACCATGTGACATTATGCCAAACTACACTATGGCACAAAATCGTGCAACATGCATAACGATGCAAAAATGTGATCATTACTCGCATACCAGCGTGAACGCGTTTACGAAAACACCAAGAGCATTTATCGAAAAAATGAATTTTTGCACATTAGTTCGTATGAAGATAGTCATGCGGATAATATTCAGAAAAGCCCCAAAACAGGAAACCACATTCTCGAGCATGCAGAATGTCCGCAAGATAACTCTGATACTGTTAATCCTAAGATTTATAAAAAACTTTCTATAAAGGGTTACCCCTTTAAAAAGTGCTCTAATTATCTAATTAGTTGATAGACTTCCATGTAAATTACCTTTCCTAAGGTTATGTCGAAATTAATTTGGAGACTTGAAAATATTTTTTAAATTGAGCTGAAGAAAATTGATTCAATTTAAATTGAAATGGAAGAACTTTGTTTTCTTTGTATAATGGATTATTTTCCGCTCTAGTCAATTACTTCCAAGATCTGTTATAAGCTTGCGAATGAAAAAACAGTGGCCATATGTATGACTGTTTTTTGAAATAATTATTATTCTTTTGTCTGTTACGTTTCTAAATAAGGCATAAGCTGATGGTGTAGTTTAAAAAACTATATTTTTACATGAATAATATTTAATAAGGCCTGTTTAACTTTACCTTCACGGTAAAGTATATAGACACTTAACGTATTCGCCACGTAGGCAGTGTGGTAAAGCAAAATGCGACCAAAACATTTGTTTCTGCATTTTTTTGCATAAAAACTTCACAGGTTAGCTAAACATATTTAAAAAAACATAAATCGTTCCTCCTTTCTGAACTTGGCCTCACTTGGAAAAGTTTCCAGTTTTATATGTTTTACACTTGATACTTATGCTGTAATTCTTCTATATAATAATGCATTTTAATAAAAATGTTTGATTTTGTCGTATTTAATAGCATAGAAAACTTCTGTATGAGGGGGCTCCCAATTTCGCCAAAATAATGCATATTACCCTGAATAAACTTAACTAAAAGGGCGATTTTCCTAACCAAAAAGCTTCCACTGGAGTAAGTCCACTCAGTGAATCAAAATAACTTGCCCAAAAATATGGTTAATCACCAAGCCGAATTCCGTCATGAAAATTGCGGGGGCCACACTGTATTGCAGTTTCCTCAGGCTTCCTTTTGGCCGTTTAGAAAGGAATGCTCAACAAAAAAGCTGTTTGTGGTCGGAACAAACAATTTTATACTTATTTTCTATAACCTTGTAAATGCAGCTATATTTTATATACCAGATTTGTATAAAGATATGTCCTGTAATCCTTTTGCCTGCGTGAAACTGTAGGCTCCGAGCGGCCTCATAACCGCGGCTGTGACGGCACAGCTAAACCTGGATGGTGCCTGGTTGCCCGTGTACGCCACGTGTGCCAGCTTTTGTGCTTTCGGTAAGCAAACAGTCTACAATGAACGCTTTGCGTTGATTATTATCGTTTGAATAAAGGTATACTTATGCCAGTAGTTTCACGGTACTTTCCCAAAACAAACAATTGAAAACGATTTGCCCGTTGTTCTGTGCTGAACTATGAAAGCCGGCGCTCAGTAGTAGACCACAAGAGTCCCCTGATATACAAAACCAATCACATCCATAACTACAGTACATGTCGATAAATGCGAAAGATTCATACTCTTTCGGTAATCGGCATTTAGTAAAGCTACAATACTGAGTGTCGTGTAGTCTATTCTGAAGTCATTTTAGTCACTTAAGCCATTTCAGTCATTTCAGCCGGCTTTCTAATGAGCTTTTTTCTGACCGTTAACAAAACTTAAGTACTGTAAAAAGTGGCTACTTAAGTACTATGCTTTTTTATTTGTGATTTTGACTCCTCTTATAAATTCAATTTTATATTTTTTGGAAAAGCCAAACGAAAATATAGTTGTTGTACTCGTTTTGTAGCAAATTGCGCCTTCTTTAAAATTTATACTTAAGAAAAGGGTACCTTTTGTTGTTAAAAATAGGTTCTAATTATGAGCTCTTTTACAATTGTAAGATGTTCATTATTTATATGTCACATCCGTCGATATATTAATGCTGCCTTTAATGTATACAGCATGTTCCACGTCCATTGCAATATTTAATGAGAGTTATGTGACTTCCTCCTCAAACCCTAGGTGAAATTGTACTTTGCCTTAAACAGAATGTGCACATCGCCCAGTTTGTAAACCTTAAATTCAAGTGTAGCAGTCAGTAGATTTAAAAATTATTCGGCAATTTATTAACTTTCTTTAAAATTGAAAGATACCCCTTTTTAAGTACACAATTTAAAGACGGCGTAATTTCCTACCAAACGAATATATGAAATATGTTTTTCGTTTACAATTTCCATAACATATATTTGATTTTTTGAAGGAAGGCATCCCAAAAATGTAGTTCTAAGTAAACACGTTCTTCGGGACAATGAGGAAACGTTAATGAGTAAAATATCGACACTGTATCCCCAGGTCATCGTCAAACTTGGGAAATTGTACAACGAACAATTCACATTTCAAAAGTGCTGGCCCAGTTATACAGTCACATATTGGCGGCGCAAATTGGCAGCTACAATTTGCGTCACTCTGTGGTGGACACATTTAGCAGTCAAAATAGCGTAATGACTAATTAAAAATGTAATTTGCGTCGTTCGGGGGTTAGTTCGGGTCATCCGGTGTACGCGCTAATTGCGGTTCACGTCAGTCCGAAGTGACCGGCTGTAGTCTTTTCGGTCAGTCGGTTTTAGAGGGCCAAACTCCGACGATGCTTGTCTTATGCAAAGGTGTGTCGACGCAATGCATAGCCACTTCTGACAAATGGTCACGTCTCTTCACTGCCAATTGGTGCTCGTGGATGCGTGTGGAGACGGATTTTCCTGTTTGGCCACAATATACAGAATCACAAGTATCGCGTGAGATTTTAGTAAATGGATTATTTTATATCGTGTTAGCTAACCGTATACTTAGGGTGTTCAAGCTCGGTGCGTAACTTAGGCATCGGTTTGTGCGTCATCTTTATTTGATGTTTCCGTAAATGCCTTTCAACGGGTTCAGACACATTCCTTATATAAGGAAGAATTAGCCATGTATTTGTTTTGCGCGCCTGAGTGGAACTATCTGGTTCCTTTTTGTTGCGTTGTTTTTGTGTCAGGTGACGGCGTACAAAGTCTCAGGGATAATTACTAAGGGAAAGCAAATGAGACAGATAAGTAAGCTTGATTCGGTATGTCTTTACGTCAGATTAGTCTGTCTTCGCTCGGCATAGCAGACTGTTGACACACTCCTTTTGTGAGAAATGGAGTTGTTGCTCCCATTGTTTAGAATAACTTCCGCATACGGGTCTTTGCGGTAAACGGACTTTTGCGATGCTCCGTCAGAACTTCGCTGCACGAGAACATCCAGAAATGGGAGCTTGTTGTTAACCTCCTTCTCGAGCGTGAACATAATTCTCGGAATGGTTGAGTTCATTGTATGGTGGAACGCTTCGAGTTGGTCCTCTTTATCGACAACAAAGGTGTCGTCTACATGTCATACCCATACCTCAGGGTTAATCGATGGAAGGGCCGCTGATTCTAGGAAGTGTTGATAGTATTGATGATCGAATGAAATGGTTTCCAGGCAGAGGTAAACGCATTCATTTAAGACAGCTGCTGGTACCTTCGTTTCATAGCTCTTCAGGATAACCTATGTGCATTGCCTTGCTACATCGAGTGGTATGGTGGCGAACAGGGAAACGACACCAAAGGAGCCCATAACATCATCATCTGCAACTGTGATTCTCCTTAGTTTGAATTTATTAAGGCAGTCAAAATCGATAAAAAAAATGCATGAGATTTAAGTAGCCACTTTTTACAGCACATACATTTTGTGAGCGGTCAGAAAGATGCTTACTAGAAAATCACTTCTTATACTTGTTTGGTGCCACATTTGGCCTTCTTTATATTTTGAAGCTAAAGAAAGGGTAACTATCGGTTTTGAAAAAGTTGCTCAATTGCCGAATAATTTTCTAATCTAGTGACTGATATACTCAAATTCAAGGTTTAAAAACTGCGTACTGTGTGCATCCTGTTTAAGGAATAGTACGTTTTCGCCTGAAGTTAGAGAAAGAAGTCCCCTAGTTGTCATAAAATATTGAAGTAAATGTGGAACATCTTTTATGCAGTATAGGCAGCATTGATAAATTGACGGATACGATGTATTATGATTAAACACCTCAAAATTGTGGAAAAGCTCGTAATTAGCAACTTTTTTAAAACCGAAAGCTACCCAATCTTTGAGTATAAAATTTATAGAGGGCGTAATTTTCTATCAAAAAAGTAGTAGAAATAATTTGTTCGTGTATGTTTTCCATAAAAAGGCAGTCAAAATACATGATGAAAAGACATACTATCTAAGTCGTCAGTTTTTACAATAGACGCGTATTGCTAGTGGCCAGAACGAAGCTCGTCAAAAAGCCGGCATTATACGTGACTGAAATGACTTCAGAATAGACTACACGATAATCAGTATTACAACCTTCAGGCCGATCAGTGAAAGAGTATCAATCTGCCGCATATGCCGGCATGTTATACGAATTGCTAGTCGTATGGTATTCTCAGCACATGCGATTATGACGACTTTTAGAAGAAATATAATCATTGCTGACGTAAAAGCACTGCCTTTCATTGCAGGTTTCCTGGTTACCCTCTTTGTCCGGGATGAAAATGCATGCTGTCAGTGTACATCAGTCTGCTCACGTGCCTGCAATTCATGCCGACACGGCATAAATGAAGATCTCGCAGACGAAGAATCAGCAAAAATTTCAGAATTAACCTACTCGGCCTGGATATGACCTATTTTGCGCCTTCATTGACGCCTCTGTGTCTGGACCGTCTTCTTTGACGCTCTTCCGCTTTTTGGCAAACAAAAGAATTGCAAGCCTACAAAACATACTGCCGCTCTTTTTTTCAAGCAAAAACACGCATTTGATATGAAAACTACCGGACAACTGCGAAGTTCTTTTCTGCGAGTAGAATGCTTCTTTTCATAACTTTAGCTGGATGGGTTTTAAAAAACTGATAATCTGTAGCAGTATGTTAAGATCATAAGGAAAACGCTTGCCACTGTGACCTTCAGGTCTGTTTCTGTGTGGAAGGAGAACAATTGAGACGCCAGTTAGAAGGAATAGTGTATTATGCTCAAATATAATGCAGAATAGGCAGGAGGTAGTTGAGAGTTGGAGTGGCGAACGTCCAGCCGCGAGGGGATCGAGTCCGGCGTGTTCGAGTGTGACAATCATTACAACATCCAAGAAGAGTCTTTATGTAAATCAGCCAGACAGCTTGGGATAACTATGCAAGTGCGCAATTGCTAGCAGCCGCAGAAGGCAAGGGCTTGAGCGTGTGCGCAATTTGCGGAAAATGAGATTGGCTGTCCTAGAGGCAGGTCGAGACTTGCAATCACCCGGGGCGTGTGCCGAAGTTGGGATGAGCTACGGGATGACTTTAAAGTAAACAGTATGGCTATCTGAAAATGTAATCTTATTTAGTCCCAACAGTACACTTAAATTCTAACCGAAAGCGAACTGTGGATCCTCGACATTTAGCGTATGATAGAAATAGACAAACTGAAGTTTTGGTGAACTTAGTGGAATATGATAAAGATGTATGTCAGCAGATAGTAAGCAAGTTAAGTTTTTGATGATACCTTGAAAAAGACAGGTGAATTTTCAAGGCGTCTTTTATCCATTTGTTTGGGCTCTCTGCTACTTGATTGAATATCTACTTCAGTATGCGTTGGAGATACTTATGGTTGCAAAAGTTCCCATCAGAGGATTCAGAAGAATATCTGGCGAGCAAACGTAGCTTTCGATAAATTCACCTCGGGCCATTAAATTAATATAGGGAGGGAGTAAAAAGTAGCATGCTAGCAATTATGTTGACCGTTACAGCCAAATTAGTCATCGGGATAGAGGAGGGGGTAGTTTAGATAGTACTCGGCTTGTTGCGAGGCGATGAGGGTGGGTTGAGTCCGGACAGGGGGGCGGGTGGGGATAGTGGAGAAAGCGCGGACAGATGCGGGCAGTTATGTAACCTTTGGCCATGCCAAGTTGGGGGCTTGCAGGAGGTCCTTTTGTGCGCACAAAACCGGCTTCCTCAAGCCGATCATGGTTACTTCTGCTGTTGATAGCAAACGCTGACCCAGGAAACGTGGGTAGCTTGGCGGGACCTTATAAATTATGTTAAAGGCTTCGCCGGGGTCCATACGAGGTCCGGAGTCAACCATGTGGGAAAGTATGGAGCTGTTGATGCTTTCGACTTCACCTTTGGCCAGCCATGTGGGGAGGTGTTTCCGTATTCTTTTGGATAAGCGCCGACTCTTGCGACCGATATAACCTGCTCCACAGGAGCAAGTAAATGGGTAGATGCCCAAAGAATGGCCCGAGGAGAATTTATCGAATGCTACATTTGCTCGCCAGATATTCTTCTG